TTCAGTTGCTGGAGTGGCCTAACCCACGACATGGTCCAACACCCTTGCTTGTAGTAGGGCCAACTTTGAAGTACGATCCAGCCCAATAGATCCTATGCAATGGTTTCTTTGTTGACACTGCTAACAAGTCTTTAACTTTCTTTTTAAGGATAAAACTTCCACAATTTTTAAGATAGGAGAACTTATCATGCATGGGCATTTTGAAAACTAGTGTCTCGTATTGATTAGGTGCTTCTGAAAGCCCAGCACCAGGTGTTAGGAAATAGCAGACACTGAAAACGTCATGGTGTGTGAACTGCCGGAATATTGACCTATCACTAGGTATTCCTTCTGTCTCAGAGTTGAATTCTGTATCCTGATCAGATGAATATTCCTGACAGCTGTCATCTTTTCTACCAAGGCATCTGGACTTTAATCAAAGGTTTAAATAAGTTTTATTTCACTCTGTTTTCAGGCTACTGAAGGTCCCTGCAGTTCTCCAAAGCCAGGTATGCTGGACTTTGTCAAGAAAGCCAAGTGGGATGCATGGAATTCTCTTGGCAATTTGTCTCAGGTGACAATACCTATAGCTTCTCTTAGATACTTTATAGATTACTTTGAAATGCCTGGTCTGTAAGTGAATGGCTGATATCTAAATATATTATATGTTAATTGCATGACTGCTCCAGACACCTAAAGATTTTACACTGTACCGTACAGTCATTTTGCTGCTACAATGTTGGAGGTTTTTTACTGTGTAACCCTAGTTCTACATTATTATTACCAGCTTGTACCAGTGTAAGATATCTTACATATGTGTTAACTTTCAATAAAAATAGTGTTTTTCACAGTGCGTTCTATTCTGCTCTTCCCTTTAAGGAAGATGGATTGAGCTTCTCAGTTCCTACAACAAAGTACAAATGTGTGAATCTGGCATATTGATAACTTTGCCATTTTAAAAAGTCAGTCTCTTATGCCACTGACTAAAAGACTAGAAAAAAGTGGTGTGCTGAGACCCTCTCTTCATTCTTTCTCAGCATATCTTGACATCTTTAATACCTTTTGTAATCTGTAAAGAAGCTTTTACTTCAAGTGAAACGAGCAGGGGGAATACAGATGTAAAAATACATGTCTGACGTCACATAGAGCTACGAGTTTCTTCAGTTACTATTAAATGAAGGAAACATAAGCTTTACAAACCAGTGGTGTCACTGCTGCTGGTCAGGAGTAGTGTCTGAGGTCAGTCAAAGACATTACTTAATACAGACAGGTTTTTTGCATTTTTTCTTTTCAAAGGAAACATACTTGCGTAATTTCATGCACATAACATATTCTTGTGTTGCCTTGGGGTTTTGGGGGGTGCATATTGGATTTTGTTTGGGATTTTTATTTTGAGATGACTCTGCAGCTTTTAGGAATAACCAGGAAACACTTGAGGAAGAGAATTTGCTCTTAGAGTCATAGTGGAGAAGGAATAGACAATGTCATGTGCTGCAGACGAAGGGTTATAGACTTGTTCAGAGTGTATTATCCGTTCAAGAAAATAGGTTGTAACAATCAAGAGCTTACAATTCTTTCAGATCATTGGTTACTGTAGAAATAAGGAGGCAGGATTCTTCAGACTTTTGCATGTCATGCTTGTGCTAAATCAAAACTAGTGTCTTCAGGCCATTTTAAAATGCCCTAGACCCATTTCAGCACTCTTACTTTCAGCAACACATGTTCTAAAATAAAAACTTTTATTGTGTTGGAGAGCTGTCCAACTGGGAAGCAGAAACAAAGGATCCACAGAAACATGCAAATGCTGGGAATATGACAAAGGTCTCTCTGATAACCTTAGGCGTGGATGGGGGCACTTCTCCAACAAAATAAATCATCATCCCAGCATCTGTGCACTTTCATTTTGTGGAATGTTTCTCTTCTTATCCTAATTAGAATGTTTTCTAATTGAGATTTATTTTTTTTCTTTTGTCTTGAAGCACAGTATTCCCCCCGCCCCCAATACCCATTTTTTGAATAGCATAACACACTGATTTCCATTTCAGCCTTTGATAATCTTGTGTGATTTTTTTTTTTTCTTTTATTAAAGGATAATGCCAGACAGAAATATACTGAACTTGTCTCAAGTCTGGTCTCTGCAGAATCTGCTGGCCAGGAGAAAGATGCTTCTCCAGAAGAGAGCAGACATGATGGTTATGAAACAATACTAGTTACCACCAAAAACAATATAACAAAGATAATGTTTAACCGACCTGATAGGAAAAATGCCATCAACCATAAGGTAAAGGAATTAACTTGGGACGATTAATTATTTTTTTTTTCTTTCCTGGTTAAGCTACTTAAGTTTGTAAAGAATCATTACTACAGGTCTGGCAGAACTGACTGAAGCATGGTGGTGATTTTTATGAGGGCTTAGTACCTTGACTCCGATGACAATCTAAGGAATAAATATCCGGTACAAAATGAAACCATTCAGCTAAAATTTTATAGACTGGGCTTTTCTGTGTCTTTTTTTTTTTTTTTTCCAAACCTACTATAGGATTACAGTCTGCACTAAACTGAAATGGCAAATGGCAGGAAAACTAACCTGTTTCATGGATACAAGATTTGACAGTAGCCTGCAAAGATACCAGAACAAGGACTTCACCTCACTGCTGCTAATTATTTAATATATTATTTTTCGCACTTAAACTGCTTCTCAGGTTTTAAAACTGACTGTTTCCAGTTAGTGTCTGTTTTCCAAAGGACTTTATTTTGTCCTTTAGATTTGCATCGGAAGTCTTGAGTATTGCAAGCATATGTCTTTACCGTCAGATATACCTCACATGTAATTCTTAACTTTCCGTGGATCATACTTAAAAGCACTATAGTTAATCTGTCTCTCAAGTTCCTTGTTGTCAGTGTCAATCTCCTTTTTTGATCTTTTGCAGCATCACATTTGTACTTTGTTGATTTTTCTTTTATGCAGATGTACAGAGAAATTATGAAAGCACTTGAAGAAGCTGGGAAAGATGATTCTGCCATAGCAGTTATTACTGGTACCACACTTCATATGCCTCTCTTAGATTTGTTTTATATTTTGCCAAAGTACAGTACTGACATGAACTATCTACCTTTATTTAAACTTAAGATAGAATTGCATAAGTGAGGAAATTATTTCCTCTAGTATAGACCAAAGATTTTCCAAAGCGTTTTGGCAAAATTATTTCAAGGTGGCATTTCAAACTCTTTAGCAAGCTTGCTGTTACGTCAAAACATCTTTCTGAGATTAGAAGATAAACATGGAATACTCCTAAGGGCTTTGTTGCTTTTGAGTAGCTCGTGTATCTGCTCCACAGCATCTTCACTACTGCTTCTGAAGATCATTGGTATGAGTTTAGTCAATTTTCTCTACCTCTGTAGTGCATTGGAATGTACTCAAAACAAACCCCTCGAATCCTGCGCTGGCATGGGCAGTGGAAAATTTACACTGCGTATTTACCTATGATCATTGGAAAAGACTTATGCTTTAAGTTGATTGTTTTTTTTCTGAGCCTGCCATAGGAAAGAATTGGCCAGGCAAGCTGCAACTGGCCCATGTGTATACATCCCAGTCACCAGATGCATGCAGCTGGATGACTGCAGTGACAATGTGAAAGGGCAGCCCAAACTCCTGCTGCATGTGACGTCTAGCTGCTCTGGGGACATGCCATTTGGATTCTCTAGAGAGCCCTTTGGTCCGTCTCTGATGCTGCCTGAATGACACAGTGGCAAGGGCAGGCAGGAGGGACAGAAGGGCTGAGGGCAGGTGCTGCCTGTCTGGCCTGTCCTTGTTGCAGATAGGTGTGCGTTTGGGAAATTAGCCAAAGCTTGGGCTGGCAGCTAAGTGGTGTGGACGCAAGGTGAATTTTGTCTTAAGCCCATTTTCTTGTTACTTCAAAGTAATTGAATGAGGTCCTGGGGGAACTGGCAGATGAAGTTGCTAAGCCACTATCCATCATATTTGAGAAGTTGTAGCAGTCTGGTGAAGTTCCCACCAAGTGGAAAAGGGTAAAAAAGGAAGACCCAGAAAACTACAGGCCAGTCAGTCTCACCTCTGTGCCCAGCAAGATCATGGAGCAGATGCTCCTGGAAACTATGCTAAGGCATATGGAAAATAGAGGTGATTGGTGACAGCCAACACGGCTTCACTAAGGGCAAATCCTGCCTGACAAATTTGGTGGCCTTCTATGATGGGGTTACAGCATTGGCAGATAAGGGAAGAGCAACTGACATGATCTACCTGGGCTTGTGTGAAGCAATTGACGCTGTCCTGCATGACCTCTTCGTCTCTAAACTGGAGAGCCATGGGTTTGACAGATGGACCACTTGCTGGATAAGGAATTGGCTGGATGGTCGCACTCAGAGTTGTGGTCAATGAGTCGATGTCCAAGTGGAGGCCGGTGACGAGTGGTATTCCTCAGCGGATGGTATTGGGACCAGTGCTGTTTAACATCTTTGTTGGTGACATGGACATTGGGATCGAGTGCACCCTCAGCAAGTTTGCAGATGACACCAAGTTGTGTGGTGTTGTGGACACGCTGGAGGGAAGGGATGCCATCCAGAGGGACCTTGACAGGCTGGAGAGGTGGGCCTGTGAGAACCTCCTGAAGTTCAACCAGGCCAAGTGCAAGGTCCTGCATGTGGGTTGGGGCAATCCCAAGCACAAGTACAGGCTGGGCGAAGAATGGATTGAGAGCAGCCCTGAGGAAAAGGACTTGGGAGTGCTGGTGGATGAGAAGCTCAACATGAGCCGGCAATGAGCACTGGCAGCCCAGAAAGCCAACCAGAAGTTGAGCTGTACCAAAAGAAGTGTGGCCAGCAGGTCCAGGGAGGGGATTCTGCCCCTCTGCTCTCGTGAGACCTCACCTCGAATACTGCGTTCAGCTCTGAAGTCCCCAGCACAAGAAGGACATGGAGCTGCTGGAGCAGGTCCAGAGGAGGACACGAAGATGATCTGAGGGCTGGAGCACCTCTGCTATGAGGACAGACTGAGAGAGTTGGGGTTGTTCAGCCTGGAGAAGAGAAGGCTCTGGGAACACCTTCTTGCAGCCTTCCAGTACTTAAAGGGGGCCTACAGGAAAGCTGGAGAGGGACTTTTTACAAGGGCATGTAGTGATAGGACAAGGGGCAATGGCTTTAAACTGAAAGAGGGGAGAGTTAGATTAGATCTAAGGAAGAAATTCTTCGCTCTGAGGGTAGTGAGGCACTGGAACAGGTTGCCCAGAGAAGTTGTGGCTGGCCCCTCCCTGGGAGGGTTCAAGGCCCGGTTTGGGCAGCCTGGTGTAGTGGAGGGTGTCCCTGCCCATGGCAGGGGTGGGTTGGAACTAGATGGTCTTTGAGGTCCCTTCCAACCCAAACCGTTCTGTCATTCTATGATTTCACAGGGGTGGTCTGTGTGATATCTGTGTATCGTGTCAAAGGATTGGAAGGGGGGTAGTGGTTAATGAGGATGTATGGGATAGTGTGGGACTTGAGCAACTATGGAGAGAAAGAAAGAATTTTTGTTTTCATCTGACACTTACAGAAGAAAGAGATTTTTTTTTTGTTTCCCTTGAAATCTTTCAAACTTCATATTCTTTGGCTTTTTTACCATTGTTTTTCAGTGAATTGTCAGTCAAAACTTATTTTTAAACCGTAGATGTCCTTTAAGGTAGAGTGTAGACTTTTGAGGTAATTCCTGTAATTACTTAATAGTGTTAGACACTTAGAATGAAATTCTGTTGTAAACGTAATAAATGGAAGCTTCTCTTACCTACTCGGAACCGTTGGTGCATTTATTTGTGTGTGTTCTCTGCAGGAAATGGAGACTACTATAGTAGTGGAAATGATCTGACTAATTTTACCAATATCCAAACTGGTGAAATGGAGAAGATGGCAAAAGATGGAGCAGTATTACTCAAGTAAGCTTCAATGAAAAATTTGTGGGGTTTTTGATATCCAACAGTGTCTACACTAGCAGGACATGCCAGAATACAATGCCAGTTTTCTTTGAATAGAGACAAGGTGTAAGGAACTTGTTCAAAATTGCCCAGGAATTCTGAGATCTGGGTTCCATCTTTGAGTCTGAATCTACCTGTTTAAGCAATTTATTTTCTACGGCCAAGGAGATCAGGGGCATCATCTGACACAGTGGCTGAAATGTTTTTTTTTTGGTCAACAACATGTTTATTTCTTCCCTATTTAAGCAGATTTTGTCATTTCTGTTACTTCTGTATGTGATTATTACATCTGAGAGATGCTTGCAAGTTGGATTGCTTCCTCAAGCACTTGCAATTGATGGAAAATCTAAAATACATGGGAAAACAAACAACATGTTTGGTTTATATTTTAAAGATGAACTGCGAGCAAAGTGCTCAGTTTTGCAGCTTTTACTTAGACAAGCTGTCTGTGGTGGATCACAGTCGCCCCTACAAAGTGGTAATCGTGCAGTCTGGATCTGTTGCAAGGATGTTATCCAGTGACACCTGGCAAGCGTTCCAGCCTGGCGTGTTTTTTAGGGAGTTCAACGCCGTGCAGTCTCCTGTGTGCCTCGTGGTCTTTCCTCATGGTCCTGAGAAGACTGTTTGCTGTGCTGTTACGGTTACACAAGCACAGTGCTTCGTTACAGCTGATCCACAGAGATGCCAGAGAAGCGGAGTTTTCACAACACTGTTGGCTTTTGAAAAAATATTCTATTTTGAGAATGTATTTTGCACTTCTTGGATGGAGAAGTAGCTGTTCAATAAAACAAAGCACCGTTTCTCAAACCCGTGCAGAACAGCATTAGGGAGTTCTGTGATAGCATGGCAATTTTGGTGCCTGCTAAAGAATCTGTGAAGGGAACAGATGTCCCACGGGTGGAGTTGGGATGGATATATAAGCAGATAGACAGAGCAAAAGGCTGTTCCTGCTGTTGAGCTGTACTCGGTAACTGGAGCTGAAGAGGACAGCCCTTTCCTACCTGGATTGCAGGAACTGGGAAAGCTGTGCTGTCATGTACGTGTTTGATTCTGAGTTGATGAGGAAATGCAGGTGTTTCAGATATTTTCTGTGACAGAATTCATTTGGGAAAGGGACAAAAACATCTGCTTCATAGAATCTAGCTCATGGTTTTCGTTACGTGGCATCTCATGACGTGTTTTGAAAGTTGTTTATATTTGACGAAGACGACTAGATGTGTCTCTTACGTTCTGTCTTTCCTTCTCTCTAGAGAGTTTGTGGGTCATTTTATTGATTTCCCTAAACCACTGATTGCAGTGGTAAACGGCCCAGCTATTGGAGTCTGCGTCACGCTCCTTGCCTTGTGTGACATCGTCTATGCTTCTGACAGGGTGAGTGCGTGACACAGCTGATCCCCAGGCAGTCTGCACGCCTCTGTCTTTAACAATTATTATTTGGTTTGGGGCAATCTGACAGAAAAGAACACACAAGTGTAAAGGCTTTTTTGATCAAAGAACATCTGTGTTAATTACCAGCACAGGGGTGCATCTGCCAGTGGTTAACATGCATGGAATTTTCCTGCTGTAGTTATGGTTATCAAGTTACTGGCTCCAGTTTAGAAACTCTTTACTGTATCAGTGGGTAAGGTAAAGAGTAGATGATGATGTGAGATGATGGTTGTAAGGCCCTTTTCAGATGTGGGAGGGCAAGTGAAAGATTGTTATGGAATGGAAGTGCAGTAACTGGCATTTTATATGATCTGTGTTCCAAGCTAACTTTGGAAAAGCTTTGGTTTATCCAACTTAAGATTCCTTTTAATGTAACTTGCCAAATACATAACCAAAAGCCATATTAAGGCATAGCACAGAATCCCGTTATACGGCTTATTTTTATGTTCTGTGCTGTTCCTTTGTATAAAGTTACTAAATAGATACAGAACGTAACCCGAGGTCTTAATTTTAGGCAAGCATTTGCTTGCAGAAGTGTCTATGATGGGTGGTACTTTGACTCCTGCTTCAGCACTGTGTCAGATTTTTCCTCAAAGTCCCTGCTGGATTGGGTTTGTCATTGTGAGATTTAGGAAAATTGAGCTTCAAGGGATCAACTCCTGCTTGCCCTGTGACAGGATCAGCTATGGTTATGCTGCTCCTCAGATATGCTTGTTCAGTGTGCATGATTTATTCAGTCTATTCCAGTCCCTAGATCTCTTCTTTTACTAGAAAATTATTGAGTTCTCCATGTTTCTTCCCTCCTGTCTGATCTTTTTTGCTGCAGGATGAGCCTATTGTTTCTTGTTCCTGAATTTAAAAGGCAGACTATTTCCATCCTCCTTTACAATAGCCCTAAGTGTGCATAGGCATCAGTGTACCAGACTGTTAGATATCTACTAGTTTACATCTACTTGTTCAGTCTTTTCTTTTTTTTGAGCTGAACAGCTGCAGTTCATTCAGTTTTTCCTCATGTGCTTTCTTAGACCTGCAGTCACGTTCCTCTGGGCTCCTTCCAGTTGTTCTGTGTCTCTTTAACCATACCAGTACAAACTGGACGCATCACTCCAGCTCATGTCTTACTGATGTGAAGTAGAGCAGAACAACTTCTCCACGTTCTGCAGACTATTTCTGCTTCAACATCCCACAATGTTGCTTAATTTACGTACTTGTGATCTGCTGTAACGTCTGGATCTCCAAGTGTAGAGTTGCCAGTTAAACAGTTGTCCCTGTCGTATATTGGGTAGGGTATACCAAGTTATTTGTGCCAAACTTTCATTTGTCCATATTAAATAGCATCTTCTTACTTGTACTTCTCCACTTTATTAAGACTATTTTGAATTCTAATCACTTCCCCCTCAGCACACTATCTCCTACAGCTCTAAGTTGGTATAGATTTTGTTGAAGTTCCATCCAAATAATCTTTAAGTGTTTTATCCTGTTAATAGTGCCTTTCTTTATTGAATGATTCATACTTCATACTTTGAGATTCATACTTGAACTTCCTTTTACTACTTGAATCATTCATAAATGCATCTTATTTTTGCCTTGTATTTCTATTTTTTAATCTCTGTATGCTTATATGCGTTTCATACTTAGTTGTCTGACATAGTTTTCACTTTCTGTATTTAAAGTCAGTGATGAGCTCATGATTTAGCCGAGACAATCTGTTAGTATCTTCTTACCTGCACTGGAGCGGCTTTTGCTTATGCCCTTGGTAACAGTTGAGGATTTCTGTAAGATCTAATTTAGCTTTTTGCTTAGATTAGTCTTCAGGAGAACTTTCCTGTTAACTTCAAGTTTATCAAAGCCTTCTCAAAGGTTCTATTCTTCCCTTTCCAGGATTGTGAACTCCTGTGCAGTATGGTCATTCTCATCCACACTGCTACTTAATTTCACGTTCTCCAATAGTTTGGCTGGCGTGCCTTAGGCATTGATTACCTACTCCAGAAGTGGCCAACTTTGCTGTGTCCAGGATCTGGTTTTATTTTCAGCCGGGCGTTCCCAGAGCAGATCAGTATCAACCATATTTATGGGACACTGCGCAGCCCAGTCTGACAGCAGATCAGCGTTTTGAGTGGTCAGTTAACACAGCCTTTTGCACTGGATTTTGCTCCAGATCCTGGGGCACCAGTTTGTATCCCTGGTATAGTTCACGTTCCCGTGCTAAAACAGGACCAGTTACACTAACCTGTGTCCTGGCAGATGTTGTCTCATCTTTTCTTACAATGATAACAGTTGTCACTTTCCTCCTAGGAAGTCTGTTGATCTGTCTTACTGTATGGCCATCTGCAGTACATGAACACCTTTTCTGTAAAGATTTTGCATATGCAAAGTAGTTTCTCTAAGCACTGTGTTCAAATAAGGTAACTTCATCAGCGATGTTGTTGTGATAAGGGAATTAAATTATACAGACAAAGTCAGGTCTTAGGTGCATTGAGAGGATGAAGCAGTGTTACCAGATGGTATTTAAAGACTATTATGGTAACAGTTCAGATGTATTTCTGGTGAATTCTGTCACAGTAGAATCTTTAAAATGAAAACTAAATCCTAGTACTATAGTCCTGTGCTCTGTTGTGAGATTTGCTTTGTTTTGTTCTTTTTTTTTTTTTTTCTCCTTTTTCTCCAGGCTACGTTTCACAGCCCATTTAGTCAACTTGGACAGAGCCCAGAAGGATGTTCCTCTTACCTGTTTCCAAAAATTATGGGCTTAGCTAAGGTAAGAATATCTGCACTGTATGTGGGATCGTCTGCATGTTGGTATCCTCCAACTGTAAGAGGAAGTGAAGTCTCAACAAGAGTCCTCAAAGGAAGCTCCTGCTCCCATCTTTTGAAACGAAGATCAGGAAATGCCATGACAGTGTCATCACAGGCACTATAACACAGCAGTGACCAAGGGAGCGAGTGTCGCAGCGGTTTCTGCCAGCCCCCTGGGAAACTTACAGCCATCCCTCCAAATGTGAATGTGAAACAATCCATTTATGTATTTAATTCCAGACCTTTTAGATTATCTGTTTTGTTCTAATATATATATATATATAAAAGGAGAGTTAGCAGATTCTAAATTTTCTTTTCTCAGAACAGTGTACCTCCCACAGAGTAAAACTGGATAGTTTCAGATACTTATCTGGTGTTATTGCCTGTGTTAATTGTAATGTGTTTTTGTTGAGCAGGGTTTAAATCTGTAAGGATGCCCTGGTTTGGGCTTGTACCTTTCCTGCCAGATTACTGAAGTCTTGTGTCTTGTTTAATCACACTTTCTACTTTTCTTTGTATAGGCAAGTGAGCTTTTGCTTTTCAATAAAAAGCTGACTGCTGCAGAAGCCTGTGCCCAGGGACTTGTGACTGAAGTATTCCCCGACAGGACTTTTCAGAAGGAAGTTTGGGCAAGATTAGAAGCTTATGCAAGCTTCCCCAAAAATGTCAGTATTTTAAATTTTTCTCCACCCTGTAAGCCTGTAGCGTTCCCAATCCTCCTGCCAAACCTATCCTATTAATTACTTGGTTTCACTTCAACCTTAATTGAAATAACAGGGCTCAATACATTTTCCTTCAAGTGCAGATCTGTCCTTGTCCCTCTGCTGCTGGGAAACAGATACCTCTCTTCTACCCTGGCTGAACCTAAGATGGTGCCCTGTACACAGAGATTCAATGGCTGAAAAGCCTTAAAAACTGGTTAATGCATCCCCTTGCAGTCTCTGGTTGCGTGCCTTGGGTGCCTTCTCTTAGATTTTTCTTCTGGCAGGAGTTTAGGTGTAAGAGCCTTACCGCTGCTCCTGCAATATGAGTTGTACTGTGTGCCCTGTCAGTGCTCAAGGTGACGCTGGGTGGCTTTACTTTTTGCTGACTTCAGTCATCCTGCTCACTGGTTCAGATTTTGCCAAGCTGCTCGTCACAATGGTCTCGCGTTACATCGGACAAGAGGAGACACTTGTTCCAGCTGCTGATAACGTGGGTTGCATTTGGCACTGCAGACAGTTGAACAGGTTTCGCTTCTTACTCCCATCTACCCATTATGAGCACTTGGTGGACTGCTGTTTCGCTTCCCGTGAACCTCCTCCATCTTATTAGCAGTTTTAGTAATTAAATGCAATAGTTACTTCTGGCGAAAAGGTTGACTGGAAACTAAAAAGTATGTTAATATGACTCTATTTGAATTCCAACGTGTTTACTCTGCTGCTTCCTGAAACATTAAATTAAGACATAGGAAACATAGCTTCCTAACGTTCCTCTCTTTCTCCTCCAGTCCTTGGCAGTGTCAAAGCAACTGTTACGAAGTGTGGAAAAGGAGAAGCTCCATGCAGTCAACAGTAAAGAGTGTGAAGTCCTGGAGGAAAGGTGGTTATCTGATGAATGTGTAAACGCTATTGTCAGCTTCTTTCAGAAGAAATCAAAACTTTAATCTTAACCAGTAGAATAATTCACCTTCTGGCAGTAGCTTAATCTGCCCTTATCGTTAATGAACTTTCTTTTCAAATAATAATTCTTGGACCTTTTGATGTGGTGTATTTCTGTTCTGAGTACTGGGTTAAAACTGGTTCATAGGATTAATACAATGTTACGTGCCTTGGATCCATTATGGATATCTGGGTTGGGAAAAAAGAAGAAGCGACAGATTCCATAGCACCATATTTTGATAACTCTTCAATAAATGTCTTATGAGTAATTCTTTTTATTCATCTATGGGGAAGGAAATACTGTATTAATGAAAAAATAAACAGAAGTATTTAATTACTGTTGTGCTGATTCTTATTCCTTCTGCTAAACACCCTCAGTGAGAGGGAAAGTAGTTCCTGGAGATGTATTAATACAATAGTCTCACAAAAAGTATTCACTTAGTAACTCAAAGGTTCTCAAAGATATTTATTTTGAGCTTTATGGCTCTAATCTTAAGTATTTTTGTCCGTGAATTGCTTCATATTGCCCTTTTTCTGTGAAAAATCCCATTAAGGATAGTATGACTTCTTCCTGTAGCTATTTTTGGTGTTAAATTAACAAAACAATTATTTTTCAACAGAAAATTTCTCCACTGTTGGTGGATGTCTTTGGGTAGAGAGTGTACCAGGCACTGCAGAGAACAGGGTCAGGCTGCTGGAAGTAGGTAGGCATTTAGCTCATGCCAACGAAAGGAAATCGTGGAGAAGCACCCAAAAAAGCCTCTCAATGACAAGGAACGGATTGTTGTCAAAACCCCCACAAAATACCTGTAATTTCAGTGCTCTAGACTCTGATCTCAAGAGCGTTGGTGGTGAGAAACCCGAAAGGTGGCACTTTGGTCCTGGCCCCACGTGCTCAGGCAGGTATGTACATAAAAGCGAGGGTGCAGAGGGAGGCTGGCGTGGGTGCTGCAGAGATGGGTGCTCCCAGAGTGCTGGGGAGAAGGAGGGGATAAATCTGGCAGGGAGACCTGAGACCACCCTTGGACCCAGCTGACAGGAAAGAAGGAAACCCAAACAATTTCATGTTATCGTGAAGTAACATGGAAAAGTGCCAGGGAGGGCATGCTTCCAGCAGCTGGGAAACAGCCACGGGTCAGTGGGGCTCTTCTGCCTTCCGTCCCAGCACCCAGAGAGGGGACATGGCCCCAGGCCTCCAGGCATGGCCCCAGGCCTCCAGGCATGGCCCTGGGAGGAAGGACATCTCTGGGGGCAGCACGCACGGGCAATGCCACAGGGCTGGCACAGCGGTGGGACTGAGGGGTGGCTGAGGCCGAGGGGTTGGTGGCAGGAGAGGCAATGAGAGAAGAAAC